GATGAAAAGTGGGGGAAAAAGGGATAAGGAAAAATGGAAGGATGTCATGGGTAAAAGAAAAACAGTATTAACAAATACACCCACAACTAATTTTGAGCAAATTAAACAGCTTAGTGTTTAATAACACTTAGTGTTTTGATGTTTAATAGCATCAATTCTAGGTATGTGGTAGGAAGAATCAAAGGTGAAGCAGGTGAGAAAGAGGCAGGTCAGATCATGAAAGGTTTTGCTATCCATTTCAAGGAGCTTAAACTTATTTTGTGGGCAAGGTGGAGTCACTGAAGAGGTGGACAGAGAAAAAAGACATGATTCAACTTGCATTTTTGAAAAATTACCCTGGCATCATTTAGAAAATGGACTGCAAGAAACTGGATGAGTTGGAAAGCTGCTCAGACAGCTCTGGTGAGAGATGAAATAGAGAAGCGGCCTTAGGAATGGAAAGGAAGACACAGTTTTAAAAATTTTTACAATTTAAAATTGGCAGAACTTGATGTGAAAAGTAAGAAAGGAGGAAGTCAGGAATGATTGCTAGAATTTTGGGTGGGTAAGAATACAGAGGAGGGCTGAGGGAGAATGCAGGAAATTAAACGTACAACGTTTGAGATACTTATGGGATATCTGAAGAAATATTTCAAGAAAATAACTTGATCAATAGCTGTAGCTTTTTGCTAGTTGGCTGATTGAGTTTAGAAGTGGTGAGGTTGACAGAGAGTTGAGGATGTATATGGTATTATACAATTCCTATTTTCTTGGTAAAGAGGGACATAAACACCTTCTAGCGAAAGAAGTGAGCATTGAGGATGAATGTTTGGAGTATGTCTAAGGGAATTCAAACTAGAATCAACAAGGAAAGGACTGCCCTAAAATGCTGAGGACCTGATAGAATTAGAAATCATAAGTTTGTAGCATGGCTCAGGTGTGCAGAAGTAAAAGCAGAGAAAGCAGCATGAGAGCTTGATCTAGAGTTTGAATTTTAGTGGGATGGTGCAGCAGCCTGGAGGTCATGGACATGAACATGTTAATAAGGAGTAGTTTAGGTCAACCATTCGGTACAGGGTGTATCCAAGAAGAAAGTAAAGCAATAGGGGCTTAAAGACTTTAAGAAAAATGAGGAGAAAAGAAAAGATTTAGGTATCTCTTTAGGGTAAAATAATATAAAACAACAAAGCACACATATTTAATAACATTCTTTGATATAGTATATGTGGGAAATGTGAGAACATGAACAAAATGAAGAGGAAGAGGCTGAGCTATTATTACAGTAGGATACCAAAATCAATGGCTTTTTGGATGAAATGGCCATAGACGATAGCAAGGTCTGGATAACATCTGGAGTGAAGTAGGGCAGACAAAAACTCTTTAGCGATGGCCACCATGTGAATATTGGAAAATCAGAGAATGATGGTAGGAAGCGTAGGGGAGAAAGTGACTTTGAGCAGGATAATAAAGTCCTGGTGAGATAATGCTGGAAAGAAAAGGTTGGAAAAGGATGGATTGTAGATCTGACAAACTGTGAACTCATTCTAGAAGGAGTGGTACATCCCTCATTGCTGAATATCATCATGGTTACCAGATGGCCAAGTGGATCACTTTGAAGGTGACTATAGTGATATTCAGCAATGAGGTATGTAGCACGTTCATGGTATCTAGCATGAGTTCGTGAACTT